TGTTGCTCCCTGTTGCACTGGGGAAAAAAATAAAAAGCTATTAGAATAGGGTTATTCCATAGGCCTGACTGCTTTCTGGGACAGCACAACACTGGATTCAACCTGATTTAATTAAGTGAATATCTGTTAAACACCTAGTATTTGAAAGATATTACAGTGGGTAAAGAAAAAACTTGACACCAAACTATATGTTCATCAGAAACTGCCTCTTTATATACCTGCTTCCGTGCCTCTCCCTGTTTGCCCCTGGAGACATTTCTTCCCATCTAATCTTCACATTTCTCAACATTGCGAAAGTTCAGGACTAGAAGACACATTCACATTGTTCACTTTTACTCATTTGTAAAATGGTAACCAAAAGATCATTATCTGTTATTGTCTATCATCCTATCTCACAGAGATAAGACAATAAAGCAGAATTGACTGTGCTGTGTTTTAACAGATACAAAACTGTAGAATCACTCTTTTTTTTAGGAGTTCCACTGCATTTAATAGTTTCAATGGGGAAGAGGTGAGCTTCTGATTGCTAATGTTTAAATTAAGATGATGGAGGAGGGCAGAATTGGAAGTGGTAGCCAAACAAATAGGTGGAGTTTAGTTAATTGCTTACATGATATGATTTCAGAGGCCATAAAGGCTCTCTTATCCCTAAAAATTACCACTACTCTGTAATGTCTGAAAACTTCATATCTTTCCAGTTGAAGGCTTTCTCTGTTAAAATGCAGAACAAACACCCTGTGAGAAATAACAATTTAACTGTTACCAGTCATTTATGCTTTTGTGGACGTGTTTTAGATTCTTTCTTGGAAGTAGATTTTGATAGAGAACAGAAGGATATTGGATACTGTGGGATGAAGTAGAGAAGAAAGAAGCATAATGTTGTTCAAGACACCTTCAGACACCCTGCCTGTTTTTCATTTTTGCCAATGATTGGTATGACAAAAAATAGAATCTGGTTTACTAAGAAATTGATTTACAAATATTTCTTCTATAACTTCAAAAAAATAATTTCAAGCTTATAGATATGTTATAATAGCACAAGAAACTCCTCTATACTCTATCCCCACTTGGTTAAAGCCTGTACTTGCTCTACCACTGTCTCTCCCCAACTGGTCATTCATTATGCCTAGAATTTGCTTAGATTTGAGTTTCCATCTGCTATCACTTCTCTTTTGCCCAAAGAACTTCCTTTAGTATTTCTTGTACAGCAGACGTGTTGCTGATAAAGCTTTTTAATTATCATATATCTGAAAGTATTTCATTTATCAAAACATGTTTGTAATAGCTACTTTAAAGTCCTTGTCCACTAACTCAACATCTGGGTCATCTAGGAGTCAGTATATATCGACTGTTTTTTCTCTTGACTGTGGACCACATTATCCCATTTCTTCTCTTGACTGTGGATCTCATTTTCCTGTTCTTCTCATTCTTGTAATTTTTGATTGTATATTGGACATTGTGGATGATATGGTATAGAGATTCTAGATTCTGTTATCTTCCTCTGAAAAGTGTTGGTTTTTGTTCTAGCAGACAATTAATTTGACAGGACTCAAACTGTATCTCCTATGGTGGGAAGCAGCCGAAAACTCTGCTTAGTACTTTCAGCCTTCTAGCTGTTTGTTTTCTGCCAGGCTCCTTAGAGTCTCTTGTGCAGATTCGTAATTCAGGGATCAGCCAAGGACTTGGCAGAATTTATATGCAGATTTTGATGTTCCCACTTCTGTGGTTTACTTCTTTCTGTGAGGTTCCTCCTCATTCTTCAGTCTCTCTAGAAGCCCGAAACTCTGTCCTAGTTCTCAAACCAATTTCACTGCAGTTTTCTCCTTGAGTTCTAGCTACTTTAGACTGGTGGATTGGGAAATAGCCTCAGGCAAAAACCATATAAACACAAATCTCAACCAGTGCAGTACCCTTCTTTCAAGGATCATCTTCCTTCTGGTTTGTCTGCTTGTGGTTACCTTCAAATAGTTGTTTTTTATGTTTTGTTCTGAACTCATAATCATTATTTGTAAGAGAGTCTGACACAATTACTCTTCCATTTCCAGAAGCAGAATCTACAAACACTTTTTAAAAACACAAAAAATAAAAACATCAATTCTATAGATTGTTATAAGTAAATTAATTAATTCAACAAGTTATTACCAAGCATTTACTTTGGGCTAGTTACTATGCTAATACTAGGTGCTAGAAAGCATTTCAGATATTAGAATTATATTAGAGGGCCGGCCCCGTGGCTTAGCGGTTAAGTGCTCGCGCTCCGCTGCTGGCGGCCCGGGTTTGGATCCTGGGCGCGCACCAACGCACTGCCTCTCCGGCCATGCTAAGGCCGCGTCCCACATACAGCAACTAGAGGGATGTGCAGCTATGACATACAGCTATCTACTGGAGCTTTGGGGAAAAAATGAATAAATAAATAAATAAATAAATAAAATTATATAGAATTATATTAGATTGTAGTCAACTTGAATGGGCCTGGTTTTTTAAACCTCAAAATAAATGTTATTTAGAGACACCTGCAATCCCGTCCAAAAAAAATCAATATAATAAACATACATTTACTTGTTCTGTCTTAAATACATTTATGTGGTGCATTTTTTCAAGAAATTCAGATTTCTGAAGCCGAAAGTATTTGCAGTTAGGTTTAACACCACCAACAGTTGGTTGCAGTTAAAAATCCTCAACTTGCTTTAGTTAGTTTGAAATTTGTCAAAATATTTTTTCATAAAAATCCCTGGGGTGGAGTCACTCTTTCATAACAGTGAGACCTGTCATTTCTGTATTTGGAAGAGAAAAAGGAAACTCTGCAACTAGAAACATCAATAATAAAAGAAGTGATAATACTTCTTTTAGTATTATCTCACCTTAGGTGACTTATCTCACCTTCCTACCTAGAATGTGGAATGTTACTCATCTCCATAAACAGCTTCAGCTTTTTACTATATCTAAATAAAATAAAGGTAGAGAATACACCAGTATAGAATCCAGTGCTCAATGCCACTCATTTATTTTGGGGCGAGAGGTCAAGGATAGGAGAAAGATGACCTGATGCTAGGGTTTACCACCTTAGTTCTCAGCTTAATTCCTCATCCTTACTCTTAAAACCTCATTCAAGGCCTGTCTCACCCATACACTTACAGGAGGCAGAAGAGGAACAAGAAGACAGGTGGGAAATTTTTCTTGCTTTATAGTTATGTGTAGATCTGGCTCTGACTTTATTAGGGAGTCAAGTGGGAAATAGATTAAGACTAAGCTCCAGTCCCTATTCTACGATGTCCACTATTTTGCATACAGGTGGGGGGTAAGCCAAATGCCCTTTTTATTTCCATTTAGTTTCCCAGCACCTATTCCTAGTCTAGTTCTGTAATTAGAATTGAACAGCCTATAGAAATTCACATATGGCCAGCACAGGGTATACACTCCCTGTTTGTTGAATTTACTTGCCATAGAGCCATTACTTGGCTCTATATAATATACTTGTGCCCCTTCTCTAATTATCTTTTCTAAGATACATTTAATCTTAATGTCTGAAATTATTTTGATTGTCACTATTTCATGTCTTATTTCTGCCTAATACTTAAAATAATTCTGACATTACAGCAATTTTACCATAAACTCTGTATCTCATTTTCTGGTGAATCATATAAATAACTCCACCTGAAACAGTGTGAGGTCAATAGCAAACACCTGTGCCCTTTGGAGGCACATTCTTCCCTTAGTGCAGCTGGCTGGCATCGTTAAACATCCAGTGATTTAACGCACTCATGCTGTGCACCAACAGAGGTGGACCAGTGCTTCCTGCTGAGTATCTTGTGCATTAAAGAAAAGAAATGAGGAAAAGGAGCACACCAGTGTTAGTTACCAGTTTATTAGTCATTCCAATTTTCTTCCAAAGAAAACAGTTCCATCGAATCCTTGGTGGATTTAGGGGCAGAAGGACAATCAGCTGGTGTGGCTTTGAAGCGTGGCTGCAGGGCTTCCCCCCCTTTCCCAGCTCAGCTGTTGCAGCAGAGGAAACTTCAAAGGCAGACTTGCTGTTGTTCCTGCCAGCGGGGGGTGTGATTCCCATCAGTTAGTTTCAGAGAAAAAGGGAGGAGGAATTCATCCTCTCTCACTTCCCAAGGTTTGATGCTCACCAAGGATCTACCAGTTTTCAGTTATGACTGTCTCTATCCAGTGGATGCAAATAAAAACAATCACAATTTCATCTGGATTTGTATCTATTTATGTACACTATTTTTACAAATCATCTGAGATAGCCAGTTTCTGTGATTTATCCACAGTGTGCCACACCACTGACACAAGCAGCCACTCCCGCTCCAGATTATACTCTCTGCTCAGGGAAATACAGAGTGGCTCTCCTAAGAGCAAACCAAGGCTTAAGAAGATTGTCCCCTTGCGGTTCTGCTGCCCTCAGCCCAGAATTGTAACTGTTTACAATCCTTTAGTCAGTTTTTCATTCTGTGTATAGGCGGTGCATTCAAGCTCAATTGTAAGTTAACAAAAAATTATTCCATTTGGTCAACAATTCACGTTTACAACATATACATTTTTGAATGATATAACTAAATTTCAAAAGTAAATGCAATTTCCCTGAATGATGTTATTTGGTCTAAACCGTTTCATTTAAAATTCATATTTTTTACTTCATAATTATAAAAGGAAAAGGAAATAATGCTTGAAATATTAACTCTAACTCTTAAAATTAAGAATAGCTTTAATTCAAAAACTAATTCTTGGACAGTGACATGGACAGTTAAACTTCCCTGCCACGACCTCCAACCAGCTTTTATTTAAATATGAAAAATTAGGTAAAAACATTTCATTGTACAATACAAAATGGTACAAGATACGAGAATCTTCAGGGAGACGACTTATACTAAAAAAGCATAAGTAACTAGATAGTTACATTCAACACTGATAGTCATACCGAAAAGCAAGTTGCTAACACTGTTATAGAGGTGCCTATTTATTCAGTAGCATGGCCCCAGTATGGCCTAAGGAAGACTCTTCTGTTAGAAATGAAACTGTGGAATTAAGAAAAAGGAAACAAACTCCTGGGAACACAATTAAGGGGAACAATTCCAGTCACAGAAAGCTTCCACAGTTAGGAGATGGGTACGCTTCCTGACGTGGAAGAGACAGTCTGCTGTGCAGGCGCTGAAGCAAGATAGCTGCCTCAGTTACGGAGTGGTGACAACAGCAACAAGAACACCAGTCAGTCCATCACCCATACTACATCTATCACAGAATACAACCTAAGGGGAAGTTATTCCAACGACTGGATTTTAATTTTTTAAGTGTGCAGAAATGTTGAAATCCAAGTGGCACAAGCTCCAGATTCTCCCTTCCAGAGACGTGTTTATATCCCTGACCACGGTATCCTGCAGAAATCCGCGTCTTCACAGGTAAAACCCCATGTCTGGTTACAGTCTGTCTTCCTAGGTATGTGCAGACAATTTGTGTTCAGCCTTTTTGAGCCATTTTTTATTTGTGTAACAAATGACATGGAGATGCAACAAAACACAAAAAAATTGGGAAAAAGTCACAAGTAAAATGATTTTATGGAGAGAGAAGTTTTAAAAAAATGCTGTTCATGATTTAGTGGAATTAGGAGCCTGCTCCCACAGTGTTGGACAACAACTGCTTACGTGGCTCTTCTTCCAAGCTTTCATTCCAAGGAGAGCTGCACACTGTCAGCTGGGCTCTGCGGCTGCTGACACTCATACTTCCTCGCTATTGGAAAACAAACAAACCAAAAACAGGAAAAAAGAGATAAAATTAATAAAATAGCAAAATAATTACTAGGTAACACCACTAAATCACAGTTAAGTCATGATTTTCAGTAAAGAATTAGCTTAGAATTAAACTTTTTTTCACTAGAGGAACTTATACTTCATGATTCTCTCAACAGTGCTTATATTCATTTTTATATGTTTATTATTATTTTTTGTATATCAGGATTATTCAGAGCTTTAAAATATAAAGTAGACATTATGCTATTAAAATTAAATTAATATTTTGTAATTTCCTTCTTTCTTATCTCCCATTTCCACCTTAAGTCAATAACAATGCTTTTGTCTACATCATAAGGAATGAGACTACATTTTAACTTATATGCCTAAGAGACTTATTATTGAACACTGTCATTAATATAAAGTAGAAGAAAAAACAGATATGCAATTCTGTATTTTTTGTACTTATGAGAAATGTTTATTGAAGAAGAATGGTCCTAACCTGAAACTACAGAAAGTACAGGGCTAAAATCCTTGTGAATGTTGTTCACTGCTTAGCTTTAAAACTTTCATTCTCTTCATTAAGTTTTTACTGGCCAAGAAAGAGATACTATTTTTTATGCTACTCAAGGTGAATCCAGATATTTGTGGCCTAAAGCTTATACAACTCTGAGGGTCTTCTTTAAGAAAAAGAATTTTGGGGGCCGGCCCGGTGGCGTAGTGGTTAAGTGCGCGTGCTCCAGTGCAGCGGCCCAGGGTTTGCAGGTTTGGACCCTGGGCATGCACCGATACACCGCTGGTCAAGCCATGCTGTGGCGGCATCCCACATAAAGGAGTGGAAGATGGGCACAGATGTTAGCCCAGGGCCAGTCTTCCTCAGCAAAAAGAGGAGGATTAGCATTGGACGTTAGCTCAGGGCTAATCTTCCTCACAAAAAAAAAAGAAAAAGAATTTTGTTTGAGATTTCCTCTTGAACTGTCAGACTTTGTCAGGACTAGACGTCACAAACACTAAGAATGATCCAATGTGATGGGATTCATTAAACGTGCAAATCCACACATATACTCACTGTTTATAAGAATAATGGCTTCCAAAGATGGCCACAACTTAATCCCCATAATCTGTGAATATGTTACCTTACAGGGCAAAAGGGACTTTGAAGGTGTGATTAAGGTAACGACCTTGAGATGGAGACATTACCCTAGATTACCTAGCCCAACCTAATCACATGGGCCCGTAAAATCAGAGAACCTTTCCTGGCTGAGTTTAGAGAGAGAGGGAGATATAAAAACGGAAGAAGGATCAGAAAGATGCAATGCTGCTGGCTTTGAAGATGGAGGAGTGGGCCCACAAACCAAGGAATGTGGGTGGCCTCTAAAAGCTGGAAAAGGCAAAGAAACAGAGTCTCCTCTGGAGGCTCCAGAAAGAAATGGAACCCTGCTGGCACCTTGATTTTAGCCCAGTGAGACTGCTGTAGGACTTGTAACCAACAAAACTGTAAGATAATACACTTGCGTTGTTTTAAGCCACTGAATTTGTGGTCATTTCTTACAGCAGCAATAGAAAACTAACACACCTCACAGACACAGGAATTCTGATAAATTTTTATTTTATGCAACTCCCATCAAAGAAGAAAAAATACTGTATACTGGATTTATAATTGTATATGCTATACTATTGAATATATTACCGATAGGAGATAACTTCTGTTTTGACCAGGTGTCAATGAAAACAATTCTTTACTTCTAATTTTCCATACAGAGCTTCCGGCTCTGTATCTTTTTTTTTTTTTAATACTTAACTTTTCTTAAGGAATTTTTTTGTGTGTGTGTGAGGAAGATTGGCCCTGAGCTAACACCTGTGCCAATCTTCCTCTAATTTATATGGGACACCACCACAGCATGGCTTCACGAGCGGCGTGTAGGTCCACACCTGGGATCCGAACCTGTGAACTCTGGGCCACTGAAGGAGACCACACAGACTTAACCACTATACCACTGGGCTGGCCCCTTAAGGATTTTTTTTTATTGTGGTAAAACATACATAAAATTTGCCATTTTAACCATTTTTAAGTGTACAGCTCAGGGGCATTAACTACAGTCACACTGTTGTGCAACCATCACCACCATCCATCCACAGAACTCTTTCGATCATCCCACATTGAACTCTCTACCCATTAAACAATAACTCCCCATTCTCTCCTCCCCTGGCCCCTGGCAACCACCATTCTACTTCTATCTCTATGAATTTGCCTCATATAAGTGAAATCATACAATATTTGTTCTTTTGTGACTGGCTTATTTCACTTCATAATAAGAATTATGAAGCATAATGTCTTCAAGGTTCAGCCGTATTATAACATGTGTCAGAATCTCCTTCCTCTTAAGGAATGAATTACATTCTATTGTAGTTATACACCGAATTTTGTGTATCCATTCATCTGTCAAGGACACTGGGGTTGTTTCCACCTTTTGGCTATTGTGAATAATGCTGCTATGTTAAACTGTTTTATTTCTTATTTTGAACTGGTATCACACGCATATGGTACAAAATGCAAAAGGAACAGAAGAGGAAACAGTGAAGTGTCTCTTTCTCCTACCTCATCAGTCTTGCAGCTACCCACCCAGTTCCTTTCCCCAAAGAAACTGGTGACTGCTGTTACCAGTTCTTAGCATAAAATTCATGCTGAAGAACTTTTTAGAGGTTCTACTTGCATAAGATATATACGTACACATATTTTTTTCTACTTTTCACCTGAAATTCCACTCCACCCGAGACATGTACTAGTAACATCTTGCTGATCATTCTTTCTTGCTTCTTTCTATGCACACACACACACACACTTAGGTTTTTACTATAAACATCTTTCTTTAAAAAAGGTCCAGTCTTTTTTCCTTAAAGCTCACAATGTCCCTATCAAGATAATGAATGTCAATAATCTGAGGCCTATCTTTCCAAGCTTTCCTCCATGCTTGCATAATTACACAGAACATTTATATTACATGTAGATAATATAAGGGATGTTTTGGTCATCTGATTTTACAAGAGTGGCATCCTAGTATATCTTGCTTTTCTCACTTAATGATACACCATGGAAACCACATCTCATTCTTTTAAATGGTGGCATAAAAGGCAGTGGCTTAGATGTACAATTCATTCTGCCTCTGTACATTTTAAACTTTGCTTCTTCTCTACTACCTCATACTCCCAGCGTTCAGTATTACAGAACATACTACTATTGAGACATGAATTCTGGCCTGGCACACTGATGTCATATGCCATATTCCTGGAAGCCATTCCTATACTGCTTTGGCTTACAATAATATAATTATAATAGAAGTGACTGCAAACTCCATAAATACAAAATTCAAGCCCAAACTAAAAGTAGCTGCAACTTGATTTTCCCTTAGCCAGATTCCCAAATGCTCTTGGCCACTTCAATGCCACCACACGAGGGGAAGTGCAAAGGAGGGCAAATGTGAATAGCAAGAAATAGCAATTTTAACTGATTGTTAAAATATCTGAATTTTTTTTTTTTGGTGAGGAAGATTGGCCCTGAGCTAACATCTGTTGCCAATCTTCCTCTTTTTTTTTTTTGCTTGAGGAAGATTGTCCCTGAGCTAACATGTGTGCCAATCTTCCTCCACTTTGTATGTGGGACACCACCACAGCATGGCTTGATGAGTGGTGTGTAGGTCCGTGCCTGGGATTGAACCCATGAACCCTGGGCCGCCGAAGCAGAGCATGTGAACTCAACCACTACGCCACCAGGCCAGCCCCTAAAATATCTAATTTTTGCAAAATTTACAGAAATATGATCACTTAAACATGTTGCTAGGGCTCTTCTCAGGGTCTTGGAAGGGTTCTAGACAAGTAAAGGATCCTGAAGTATTAACTTCGTGCAAATCTGTCTTTGCTAATACTGTGTTGAGCATCTAAAAAAGGCACTAAGTTTTCATTATCAACTATTTCTGATAACCTTTTGCTAACTAGACTCAATTCCAAAAAATCTATTTTACACATGCTTATGTATATAGTTAAGCACAGAACATACTTACAAATGGAATACATTTCCAGTTGCTGTCTTAAACGAATTTTGCTTACTGTGTCATAAAAGTTGGGCTCTGAAAAAGTTTCCACTGTAGATGGCACACTGAATATCCTCATAATTTTCCTTTTATTCCTAAAACACAAAAGCAATGCAGAAGAGAGATTTGTATTAATATCTACAGGAGTATAATACTCTCATGATCATAGTAATCAGAAGCTACATTAAAAGGACTTAAATGACAGTAAGTCCATCTTCTATTTTGTCTCTGTGAGATGCTTCCTTGGCTCAAGTATTCTTTTTTTCACTAAAAAGTAGGAAGCTGTACATGTACAGCCACAGGGCTTTAAGGAAGCAAAGAAAGTAGCTGAATGCATCCACTTAATACAACAAAGTAACATACTTCCATTGTGTTTCCACTCTCTCTCCCACAAAAAGCCAAATATTGTATGGAAATACGCACAAACAAGAAAACATCTGATTTTTTCCCTCCCTCTCATGTTATCCAAATAAAGCTAAATTACTGGGTTAGAGAATAAACAGAATGTGAGTAGACCTTAATTTTAGAAAATAATGAATAAACATATTTCTTAAATACAATAGTATGGCCTTAGTGGGGCCATCTATTTAAATGAACAACAGTGTGTCTCTGCTGTTAAAGCAGCAGGGTGGGAGGAGGCGGCAGCTATTTTTAGAGGAAAGCTGTTACCTGAAGAGACCAGTGGTGATCTGTGGAGCCTTCTCCCTCCCACTCACCCCCTAGAGTCCAGGTGGCCCATGGGCCAGCTGCTCCAGGGGTCAAGCAGCCAGGAAGTGGGAGTCTGAGAGCAAGTGCCGGCTCTGAAGTACTCCCCTGGCCAAACATCAATAGTTTGGGTTACTCATTATTTTGATCTAACGCCTTTTTCACGTGGTAGAGGACAGCAGGAAGCACGAGGCTACATGCAGAAGCACCTCAGTCCAGCTAAATACTGCTTTTCTTCTTCAAAGCACCCCCCACTTTTTTTTTGTTTTTTACTGTACTTAAAGGAAAGGAGCCAGGGAGTGTGGAAAAGAACAGTTAAATTATGCTACAACATCTGGAATTACAGCAGGAAATATTTATTGAGGATTTACACTACATGGCGTACCAGGGACACAAAAGTTAAAGGTCCTTGTTCTCAAGGGACTGGAGTTTTTGTAGAACAGACAGACAAGTAATCAGATAACACTAATACTGTTCAATAAGTGCTATGATACAGTCAAGCACAAGAACCAGAAGGAAAAACTTGAAATGTGTGAAGAGAGAATTGTTGAACACATAGGAGTTAGTGTTTCTACATTTCAGGGACATGGGCCAAAAAATGTGCTCATCCAAGGATGACAATGAACTCAGGCTGGATGATAAAATTGAGCTATATAAGAAATGACAGAATGGGAGGATCAAGCAGCTGGTCTGGGTGGGTGCTGAAAGTTGCACTTAAATCTCCATTTCTTAAAGCAACAGGGTTTTCAAAGTCAAACTTTGGTGTCCAGGGCTCAAGGACAGACCCAAGTAGACAGTGCTTTCATAGCAGAACAAAAATGCTGATGAAATTTTTGTGCATTTAATTCAGATAAAACAAATAACCTGCAAAACTTTTAAATGCCCAGTTTCTTATCTACTTTGAGATACTCAAAAATTACCTCTTGGCATACATGAAGAGACCAAAGCTAACCAGGATCACTACCAAGTAAACGTTGGTGGCTTCGTTCCAGGCCTCGTGAACGCTGTAATCGATAGAGCCGTCGTCACCCATCACTCCGTAACCTCCAGGCATGGGGCTGTAAGAGAGAAACAGTGCAGGACGACTTCTAGTTAGTGAAGGTACGACCATCTGGAGAAGGGCTGGGAACATATGGCCTGCTGGCCAACTCCAGCCTGAGGCCTGTTTCTGTACAGCCCAGGAGCCAAGAATGGTTTTACATTTCTAAATGGATACATTTTAAATGGTTATAAGGACCTACAAAATATGCTCGATTTTTGCTTCACAGTCTTCCAAGGCCTAAAATATTTACCATCCGGCCTCTTAAGAAAAAGTTTGCCAAACCCTGGTCTAGATAACTAAGGCATATATTTCCCCTTATTTTAGACTTTGAAACATTACATCTCCTACATAAAGGTTAAAATTTGGGATTAAAAATGTCATTACTAAAAGGATGTAGGTGGAAATGTCACTGCTGTTTCCACCCTGTAGCTCACCCAGAGGAAAGCAACCGAGTACTTTAAAACACGGACCAGACAACTGGCTGTGATGCTAAGAGAACAGTGCTGCTCTAGTAACAGTGGCTGAGAAAGGCTGCAGGAGCCATGACAATGCGTCCACAGGCCTCCCCACGCAACTGGATCTAGTTTTGGCCTCCTGGCCAAACTGGTTGAAAGAAGCTGAGATAAAAAGTTACTTTTTGCTATTTACACAGCTGTGACTTCTATTCAAGGAAATGCATTCCTTGGACATTCCCACAGAAAATAAGAGTGTTAATAGCAAGTGTATCAAATAGTAAGTAAGTAAAGAGAAATGGGTTTCTGATTTGTGTTTGAAAAGTTAATTGAATTTTTCCTTAAAGATACAGTTCTTCCCTTGGGTTGGACTTACAGGCAAGTTTAAGTAAAATGACCTAATATGTGAAAGAAATCCAGAAGCATTTAGACTTTCTAGAAAAAGAAGGAAAACTGCACAAATGATAGGTGATAACCGTGCTGTAGTTTCTAAGAATAAGACAGTCATTTTCTCATACCAAGAAAAAGAGTATCTGGAATGTCCAAGGAACTGTTTTGCAATTTTTTCTAGAGATCCTACAGCAATGAAGGCACTGCAAAAAGTCTTCCACTAAAGTATCCTGCATTCTGTCCCGTAAGCTTCCAAATGTTCTTTAATGTGGATTTGGCTCAGTAAGTTAGTAAGTGTGTATCAAGGGCAGAATCTGTTTTCTTTCTTAGCTTGCCTTCTTAGGGGTCTGCTCCTAAGCGAAGGGGGCATGTTTGCCCCTTTCTGACATGTGAAGTCTTTGTCACACGTTTGGGGACATATTGTATTCATGTACAATAAAGTGAGTATCGTGAATGGCCACTTAAACTCTAGACATTGAGGGCAAGAATAATTTCTCTAAAACATCTATTGGTATCTGATGAACATAAAGATTGGTCTTATAAAAATTAGCCAGGGAATAACAAAAACAGAACTTACTGTAAATTATAAAAACTTATAGATACAAGATCTAAATATTATTTAAATATTAAACCATACCCAATTCCTAGATATCAAAGACTGGCTATGGGTTTTTTTTTAAGAGAGTGGAAGGCACAGGGGAATTTGGCATATTCACAGTTTCAATTCTTATTCCTTAAAACTGAACTCCAGAGTTTCTCTGAATGTAACATTATAATTTATAGTAAGTAACCAGCCTACTTCAGAAATAGAAACTTTTGGAAAACCAGAGACTATAATTGTCTTTACGATTTATGGAATCTAAAATTTTGTTGGTGCCAAAATTAACAACAGTGACTGTGTTTTTGGCAAAAAGAGATGAGTTTAGATGTCTGATCTGAGATGCTGCAGAAAGTCCAGGCTGTAAGGGTGGTAGGTTTCAGGACTGAGAGTTATTAACAAATTGGGGAAGAACAGGGAACATATAGCAATGGCCACTAGAACATTCTGCAAATGCCCTGTATCTGAAAAATTATGAAAGTGTTTCCTACCTGTTTTCTAATGCCTGAATGGATCTGAGCCAAGTTAATTTCTTGCTTCAATTTTTCTCAAAAATTCTGTTCATGTGCCACTCAATAAAAGGCATATTCCCACAGAGCTTGTCTTCCTCCTGCTACAAATATGCCAGTCTTTAATTACATTTACAGAAGGATTTTGAATTACTGCTGACCCAGAATGGTAAAATTAGGATTTTGAATTACTGCTGACACAGAATGGTAAAATTTTAACATGAATTATACAACATATATTATACAACATCATTGGTATGCAATGACACTACTGTTCCACAGTTCCAGGGACATGCACCTGAGTTATTTTTAGCAGTGCAGTTGTGAAAGATTTGCACCCAGGGTAGGCCTTTTCTGCCCAGTCCTCCATCATGACCAATGGCAGGAATTTGTAAGACTGCCAGGAATAGGCAATGGCCTTGTCCAGAGTCGCAGTACAAGACCCATGGCCCACATGTGGCCTGAACTCTGACCGTCCCCACCCAGCATGCCACAGTCTAACCAAGTATCCACACACACACCTGCTGAGCAGTTACTGCAGACCACAACAGCCTTCCTCTTGAATCTAAAGCAACATGCTCTGGGGCATTACAACGGTTCATTCCTGCTAAGTGAATGTTCAAGATCACCAATGTAGCCAGCTGGCCATGTGCATGGATCATCATTCAGGGCTCTTTTGAGAAAACTGAACTTTTTTCACATATTTTCCCTGTACAGTAATGCTTGAACGATTTCAGTAAGGAAATGCTAGGACGAGCTGAATTAAGTCCCAGGTAAACATTAGTATGGAGAGAGAAAGTTGCCAAAATATGACAAGTAGGGCTTGGTTTTAGTTTGATAAACTTTTAGGTCTAGAACTAGGAGAACTTTTCCAGCGATCAAGTGACAGTAAGTTTTAAAGTTAGTTTGCTGATTTTGGGTTCTAGGTGGTTCTAAAATTGAGTATCACTTGTCATCATGCCTTGAATGTTATCATTTTTGTCTCTCACTTAGAGCTCTGTTATTTCGATACAAATTCAGATTAGAATCACATACACAGTTCCAAGAGTTCCTTACAACACAATCCCCTGCATAAATGTGATTTTTTCTCTCAGTCCTCTGAAACACTAAAGGTTTGGGTTTCTGAAGCAGAAGCGTACAAGGTAATAGTCCTTCACCCAACAGGAAGCAGACAATTAACATCTGCGGGGTTCTGTGCTGCGTAGTCCACATACTCATTTCAGTTTTCCAACCACCCTGCTGGGAGGCACCAAAGCTCCCTTTTAGCAAGTGGGACGGTGGTGCTGTAACTTGCCCAAAGTCACACAGGCCAGGGAGCGGAGGGTCAGGGCTGTCACCTGTACCCGCCGCTCAAACCTGAACTCTTCCAGCCCTGACCCGAATCTAGCGAGACCCGCTCCTCCCGGAAAGAAATCCAGTCGGGCGGGTAGAAAACAGAATCCTGTCCCAAGAAGCGGCCCGAAACTCGGCGCGCCCGCCGCCGCAGGCTGCGCGGTTCCGTCTCCACACGCCCAGCCCGGGCCCGCCCGCCTGACAGTGCACGCGCGGCTGCTTCAGCCTCTCGGCCCGCGGTTCTGGAGCGCGCAGCCTCACGCCCCCGGGCAAGAGCGAGGCCGGACAAGGAGCCTCACCGCGGG